GTGGGACGGGGATTCGAACTCGCACCCCGCAGATTGCGAATCGAGCGCCCTAACCACCTGGCCATGCCAAACCACATCATTTTGGATTAGACATAAGTATGTAACATGGTAACATTATAACTTCTTATAGCGCTAATTTGCTAATACAAAGACGCACATTCTTATATTAGGTAACGTGAGTTCTTTGTTGCGTTCTAATCCTACTAAAAATCTTCGTTTGACTGACTAATGAAGACTAACTCGGCCAAAGTGTAATATTAATATACATTAATCACTCAAGTTAAAAGCAATAATTTGAAAAGAAATACGACTCACTATGACGATCCCGAGAAAAGAGAATAACTCTGCTTTAAATTTGAAGACATAAGATTTACAAAGCAATGGATGTTTTCATTACATTATCACTAAAACAGAAAATTTTAATTTCCAAAAAAAGAGATTATTGATGATTATGAGTAGCTTCATTAATTAAGCTTGCTTCTTATTAAACGATTCTACGAGTGTTTTCTAGAAAATTTTAAGTGATATTACATAATGAAAAGAAAAAGTGCTCGTGACGTTGTTCTTTATAAAAGAGAAACTTCCCGACGAGTCATAGAGATAAACTCCATTTCTGATAATTAGACATTATCTCAAATTCTGAGAGGATTCTTTCAGATATGGTTTCAGTGGGTCTACCATTTCTTGTTCTTATCCCACTGTCGATGTAATCACGTGCCTTGATGGTGTGTTTTGACTGACTGAGGAATCTCTCATATTTCAGCGAGCAAAGAAGGCTTTGTTTTTGGCTAAAAGTGGTTAAAAGTTAAATCATTCGTCACTTAACAACTTTTAGATTAAACTCTACAGAAGCTTTACTGATGTTTTAAAAGATAGGATGTATATTTGTTTTAACCAAATACATTTTGCTACCTCAAATTCACTTTTTTTAACACCCAGTCTTTTAAAAAAAAAACCGCTTTAACTGTACAAAGTAGATTCAGCAGACACACTGATACCCCCCCCCCCTCCAGTGGCACAGTGGTATGTTCGCGGACTTACAACGCTAGAAACTTGGTTTCGATACCCGTGGTTGGCAGAGCGCAGATGGCCCATTGTCTAGCTTTGAGCTCAACTTCAAACAAACATACAGATCAAGAATAACGAATACTTAGTATAACTGAACGGATGATGACTGTATACGTTTCTAAAATATAAATAACTACAGCGTTGTGTGCCAAGTTCATGTTTCAAGTACATTTTTTTTAAATCATGCTAAGTAAAAAAAAAATTGAGCTACTGAATCTCCGGCCAATTTCTTCACCGCTTCTTCTTAACCCGACACAAGGACAAGGTTACTGCCATCTGTCAATTATTATTATTATTATTTATTTGTTTATTGGTTTATATGTTACGGAACATCTTAAAATAAATAGTGATGATTTTCATGAAACTTGATATTGTTAAAACGCACTACCGAGGCACCTATGATTCAAGTTTGCTGGATGTCACAGCTAAATCCATCACCGGCATATGGAGAAGGAAGAATTATTGAACGATGAGTCAAAGTAGTATACACAAGTTTGCGTATGTAATGGTAATCAGATGATCATATCTTGATATCTGGTAATAGGTAGGACTTCAAAAGAAAGGTTTACCACCCATGTAGTTGGCGAAAAGAATTTCACGTAGAGATTACAGATTGTATTACATGATATGAAAGAGTTGACGACCAGTTCTTACAGAGGCCGCTGCTGTAAGTTTATTTTTGCCGACATCAAGCTGAAAGAGTTTCCTACGAATGAATAACATACAAAACTACTAGAAAAATAATCAAACTTGACAATTTGTTCCACGGGGAGATTTTACAGAACTTTCCAAAACGGGAGAAAATATAATGCACGGGTCACAAGAAAGAAAAGCAAATAAAAACGCAAAACTTGTTTCATTGCGTGTGGACGACAACATTTCTTCAATCTATTACTAGATGGCACTAAAACAACACATATGACAGTTATATTTCTTGATCTGTTTATTATCAGCCATGACCAATATTCCCTCTAATTTTTTCAATCCATGTGCGGAATGAGTTTTGTTTTTTGTTTTCGGAGGAGGGATATTTTTTAGACTATCGACCCCATTGGATCATTAGGCCGCTTTGCGATGGTACCAATTGGTTATTTGAGCTTTAGGCCTATCTACTGCTAGGGTCATTAAAGCCGTCAACATGTTAAGACTCCTCACCATTACTGACGATGTGTGCGACACTTATTTGGTTGTGGTGCTGAAGCACAGCTTAGAGGGATTACTGGCTAGCCAGGACTTTCTTATTATGATTACTAAACACCTTTCCTAGCAACATGCCAACTTTCTTGTTTAAAGGATCCTGAATGAGACGCAACAATCTAGTCAAGTATTCAGTATCTAAACTTCCTTCTTTATACTTAAGTTGACTTTTTTTTTCTGTTCTGATTGCATTAATCTGGCAACATTTAGGATCCCACTGAATTTTCCTAGCCATTTGAAACTACAATGTTTTTTTGAAATGAAGGTATTTTTCGATAACCTACCGTTCTTTAATACATATCTTATTTCTGCTAGTGCCCCTTTTAGGTAGCAGTTGCCTTTGTACCAGTTTGTAGAAATGAATATATTGCTGTGACTAAGTGCTCTTCCAATAAGGTGTGTGCCTGCAGTTTGTGATATACCAGTATTTTCTTTCATTTTCTTGCAGGAATCTGTGAACATAGTCGAGGATTATTGGTTTTATTTCTTTTAAAAACACGACTTTTCAAATCGTACAATACATTCGCAACTGGATTAACACTGACACTTTGGATTAACCATTTCGTAATATTAATTATTTCCTTCTCTTCCCAATACCCCTCATTCAGCAGGGCAGTGTATTTTCGGTCATTGTTCAAAACATGGGCGAATTAAACTTCATTCAATGGATACAACGACCGAACCAGGATGTTATAATATTGTTTCTTCGTCTTAACTCCATCACAATATTTCCCACTTTTGTGCCAAAGAAACATCCACTACCATGTTTCACTGTTTTATTTAATACCAGTTTTTTTATGGTCACGTCTCCTCATGAAAACTCTCTCAGAGTTTCAGAAAAAAAGTCTGTCCTTTGAGTCTTCTATTCGTATCACATTCTCCCATTCAAATTCTTCAAATGTTTGTGATTTTTTGGAAAGTTTGAGCATGTTTGTAAACTCATTATTAGTCCATCGTTTTCTTGCAACTGCCTGTGAATAGTTTTATTAACAATTCTAGCTCCATGCATATCCTATATTTCTTTTTTTGCATTTACTTCTGGGGATGTTTCGAATCGATATATGGCCTGGCATGACCAGATGGTTAAGGCGCTCGACTGCGGGTTGCGGGTTCGAATCCCCATCCCACCAAACATGCTCGTCCTTTCAGCAATGGTGGCGTTATAATGTAACGGTCAATCCCAATACTCGATGGTAAAATAGTAGTCCAAAAGTTGGCGGTGGTTGGTGATGACTAGCTTTCACTGCTATATTAGGGACGGCTAGCGTAGATAGCCTTCGTGTAACTTTTCGCAAAATTCATAACAAACAAACAATCAAATCGGTATTTTATTGAACTCCTTTTGATGACACTATCCTCCTGTCTGGGTGTTATTCTTAAACCCTAAACCCCGACTTTCAGCAAAATGCTCTCATATTATTTTAATCTCACACTTCTATATATATCAGATGAAAAATAATGTGTGTTTGTTTTTCACAACTTATATCTAAATTATTTTTACACGACTTTTAGCTTTTGCAATAGGAAACTTGTGAAGTCTTTGGATGATATTAACGCTTTATTGATAATTCACAGCAATTAACTAAACTGAAACGAGAATTAAAACAGGATTGAAAAATATGTATCATATGAAAGCATGCATCAATGAAACCAGGCCTACTCATTCTACATTTAATGATTTTCAGTATTTGATGCCCAATTTTTTTCGTGATGCTGCTTATGAAAAAAATAACTGTTTTCATTGTAGTTGCAAAAGAACATGTGAATATAATACAAAGAAGCGTCATTAATATTTTACTTTTGCCAACAGTGGTTCCACTCATTCATGTTTTTACAGCATGATCGATGTTTTTTGTCGTTGTTGGTGGACACATTCTGATACTGTTTATTCAGAAGCTGACCTACAAACTATGAGGTCATACAATGTCATCTTTCGTTGGAACTAATATTATTTTCAACTGACGTGGCTATTATAAGTTTTTCGTCAGTATCGTCAGATGGCGAGCTTCAGGTATTAGCATAACATAAATAAATAATGAAAAGATAAAGCTATTACTTTCTAAAATGTATGAATACCTACAGAACCTCAATTATCAGCACTATATCTTATAATCAAAGTTCTTGATTTTGATAAACTTACTATGAGCAAACAAACGGCTAAAACATAGATTAGGACAACGGATTATTAAAATTACTTCAGAGGAAATCTGAATATGAAATTTAAATGTGATTCTTTTTTGTTATTCTTAGAAACTCGCGTGATACTGTGTAAATAATATTTTACGTGCGCTGAATGGTAGACTACTTGTCAATCGTGTTTGACGTATGTAATTCAAGATGATTAAGAAATATATCCTCTTGACCTTTTATATAATCGGACAGGAATTCTAAACCTTTTTATGTTTTGAATGTTTTATGCGAAATAGATTGTAAAAATTGTCCATTACGTTCATATCCATAGCTTACAAAAGGTGGCACTATACGTATAATACTGTAGCATTATCAAGTAAAATATAGATAAAATACGTACACTCTATTTCCCCCAAAATGCCTCCAGAACTTTTGTAGTTGCGACGATGTCCACTGAGTCAGGTGGCGCAACTGCTTAAAATAAGTAAGAAAAAATAACAGTAAACCATCAAATATATAATTTCAGGCTGGATTCGTATAAAACAACAACTTCTGAAACTTTCTCACGTTGAAATATTTTTGGGCAGATTTCGATTCCTTGTTTTTAATTATGACTTTATAATACACCCAAAAAGGGGAGAATTATTAGTAAAAAATAAAATAGATCTCCATCAGTGATTTCATTCTACAAAACAAACAAACAAACCCAAAACAGCATGTAATTACAATATTTGGGGTTTTATGAGGAGGAACGTATTTTGAGACTAAGAGATTAGACACCCCTTGAATGAGTAACGAAGGAAACTTTGTTTATTAGTGTAACACAGTAACAAACAAAGAGGAAAAAACATTGTCGAAACGTTGTACATGTGTTACTATGTTAAAACTTGTAAATAAAGTTTTCTTCGTTGCACATTCAAGTCGACTTTAAACTTCATTACAATATTCGCTGCTAAGTTACTTGATCTGGATCTTAAAATACTGAGAATGTCACCCATGCCAATAATTTTTTACTTTCCGAATATTAATTTTTTTTTTACTTTTTGTGAGAAACTATTATATTAGAGTTCTTCTAGACAAGTTGCAATGCATTTTTGTAAATGAAGAGATTGGCATGATAGCAAGTAAAAACAAAATATATCCTGAAACTGTGTGATCGATAAACAGCAGTTGTGTAAAAACCACATATTTAAGAGCCTTTTTCAACGAATTTTCATTTAATCAGAAGTGCTAAAACTTTTTCAAAAGCTCATCATTGAGTGGTAAAATAGGCTTAACTGATTGAAATGAAAGAAAGATTTAGATTGGTTCGAATAAGTAACAAAACACTGCATATTACGATATTTCAACAAAGTATGCTAAAATAGCGCTGTTACAAATGAGCTCATTAATGATTTTTGAGATTGTTGTGAGGCGCTGCAGTCAAAGTCTTGTAGACTAATGAACGTTAGATTATTTATGACCTTTCTTTGTATTTGATAAGAAAATGTAATATGATGAAAAAGCCGGTTAAATATGTGGATTTTATTGGAAAATACCTAAGTATAACAATGACCTTCAAGACGCCAAACTACGAATGTTAGATACGAGCGAAGGTCAGAAAGTACAAAAAAGCAAAAATATGTTATTTAGTACAGCCAAGGCTTCTCTTTTTTAAAAAAAAAACAACCAGAAAATCTCCAACTATAAATACCAGGAAGAAGTATATATATGTGTGTGTATATACAAAGACAAATTTCAGAAGAAACATGAAATCTGCTTCCTTACTTATAAATATCTTTGTCACCAACAGTTCCATATCACAATTTAACAGATATATTGCACAATTGTAAACCTAATAGTAACCTATATGTTCTTATTGTTGATGGATTAGACGAGATTAAATTTTGTAAAAGTAATACCGTAATCAAAATCAACCCCTGTTGAACATTATATGCAAGTAGATTGCCAGTATCCAAAAAGTAAAATATGTGATACATGCCAACTCCTTTTAAGCCTAATCAAGTAGGTAATATAATCCACTGGTCCTTCTCTAACTAATTAACCTACTTTTTTGCGATTTCCTTCGAATTTTTCTTCGACGTGATGCTACAGAACTGACTGATCCAGATCTTGGATTTCCCTTATTGGATGGAGAAGAATGCGAAGAGGATCTTGCGAGCGCTGAAGAATTGAAAGCTTATTACTGACTTGTGGTGTAAGAAAAATCTGATCCGTATCATATTATGCTTGTTTCCAGAAAAATAAAAGAAGAACTAAATAAAAAAATTAAATTGTTATTTAACTGCCGGCATAATAAAACACAACTGAAAAAACGATTCTCATAAGGTAATTCATAAAACAATGTTTGGAATTTCTTCTTGTTTGGAACAACTCCATTAATTCCTATGAAATCTCCACAAAACAAAAATGCGATCAAAGACCGAAATAACGCACGATTGTTTCTGTAAACTATGTATATTGCCTCCGAGTCTTTGAATAAATCTAACCTGAAATAGCATAAAAATATTTTCACAAAGTAAAATTTCCTGATAAAAAACAACAACAACGCATTTATGTTACTGAAAAACATATTAGATTAATACTTTGATTTTTGCTAAGTTATATGGTGACTGAAAACGAGAACAATTATATATATATATATGTATTTTCGAATATATTATCGTCCTTTACTCGTAAATAATTTACTATTTAAGCAATTAAGCTTAAAGGAGAGGCATGTCATAGTTTTGTCTTTATATGTGGGAAGTATTTATTAAGATTTTGTGTTGTTTTAATGAAATTTACGACAAAGGATTAGTACATTTTGAAGCACAAAGTGGAACTTTAATGTACTTTAAAAACAAATTCCAAATTGAAAACTAGGATTTTTTCACTATATTTCATTAGATCTTATACGGTTTATATGGACCTGTTGATGGGTGACAATATTTTATAATAAAAAACAACAACAATAAAAATAGCAAATAAATAAAATAATATAAAAATCGTACATATTAATATCATTTAGTATACACTATGTTCAAACTTATTTTAGAAAATAAAAAATCTGAAGATCAGATAATTAAAACATTGGCTTCATCTTTTGGGGGAAAATGTTTTGTCATTCCCATGTTTCAACAAATGAGAGTTTTGTATATTGGTCATGTGCATGTTGGGTTAAAAACAAAAAGAGCCTTTCGAGAATAGAACGGCTTTTCAAACTTAAAAACAAATCAACAATCTAGACAACGTTGTCAAAAGATGGCGCTGCAATAGAATTACCTGAACCTATAAATAAATGAATAAAAAACATTTTAAACATACTATCAAATGTATGCGTCGTGTCTTTGTGCTCGCACCGAAGACCTTTATACCCATCGGCACATCTAATGAAAAATAGAAACAAAAAATCAAAATCAATAGCTTTCCAAGATATTTAATCTAGACATTTTTTTAAAACTCATTTATCCATTCAATCGGGTTTTGTTAAATATTCCGTTTATTGTCAAAAAACAAAAACTTTTAAATTTGAGAAATTAAAAATGATGAAAAACAAACAACATATGAATAGTATTAGATACAAATAACTTATAAAAAAATAAATTATAGTACTAATTTTAAAATGTCCATTTGAAGGATTTACTTCGTAGATTTTTTTACTAGTATTGAACAAAAATGACAATATTAATCTATTTGTTTATTGGAGTGAAAAAGTACTGTTCAAAAATACACCAAGTTGTCTCAAACGCAGGGGCGGCGTTAGGGCACTACAAACCGTGAAATTGCACGGTTTCCCGAGCTGGTCAGGGATCCCATTAGAGTCCAGTGGTAAGTTGAAGAATTAATTTTTTCTTTCTGGACTAAGAAAAAGTGATATTGGCTTTATCGGTCAACTGAATGGTGACTTTACTTGTGTAAACTTATTACGAGGCCCTTAAGTTCCTTACGAGAGTTATGAAATGTCAACAACAACAAGCTAAACAAATATACAAAAATAAGTTATGTCACTATTCATCAGATGAATATCAAATGCCGTTCATAGTACCAGTAACAGTTGCATTAAGCGAAAGAAGCTTTCCCTGCCTGAAATTGATAAAAGATCAACTAGATCGTAAAGGAGTCTAAGTAGCCTGGAAATTATTGGGATTAAATTTGAGATTTGTCTGTAGCCCAGTTGTTCAGATATTATAGAAGACATTGCTACAGCTAAAGCACGAAAAGCTAATTTTCGTGTTGTCATATGGCTGATGTGCTGTAATTACATTGGTGCTTCAATACTATAATAAGTTTTTGGGTTTTTTTACTGCTGTGTTATCTATAGTTTACCAATTTATTAACTGTTTTTATATTAACTTCTGGGAATAAGCTTTTTCACCATTGTTACCATGAAGTAAGGCGGTTTTAGTATGATTGTTTATATAAAATGTAGAGGCTCCAAACCGAGCCTTTGCACGGGTCCCCCAAAAGGTATAATATCCCCCACTGCTTGAGTCAAACGTGATGTCTAAAAAGTGATAATATTTATTTGAGTTGTAATTTTCAAGTCAACATATGTACACGATTAATCCTGAACACCAGTTTGTTGATAATAGGAATAGGCAAACGAAGTCTGAGAGAACTGAAAGATTAAAGCTCATTGTTTAGCTATCCACATTTTAAATGCTTCTATTACTTACAAACCTGTAATGTTTACAGCCGAAATACATCTACAATCAATAGGTATACCTTACCTTAAGAAAGTTTTAATGCTTTATGATGCCAAAAACTATCGAAACATATCAAAGCCACAGGATGTCATAATGAAGTAACTAAAGCTCAGTTGCTTACTTCATCAGAAAAAGCTGCTATATAAAAGTCTTTACAAAAAAATAATAATAATACTTGCTAAAACTACATTAGTCAAACATTTTAATATTAAAGTATGAGTTTGGAGAACTTTAGAGTTCCATCTGTTAAATCAAATACATTAATGACGATGTTCAACTAATAATATTTATTTTTGGCTAAAATAAGTGTCTTATTAGAAATGAAGATTTAAATTCATTCTGGTATGGTGTATAATTCGATATTAATTTTTACATTTTCATAAAGTTTGCTACGCATTTTTTAATATTTTTTTTTCATCGAGAGTGCTGGTTGTTGAATTATTAAGTAATTATAACAGGAAAGCAACGTGTTAAACTTCGTATTTTTTGTGCTAGAACTTATCACTGTTTTAAAACTATTTTTATATAATTTTTCTAAGTACTTTTTAAATTTCAACGAGTTTTTATGTAATAGTTTATATAAGAAGGATCATTGTTGCTTTGTGGACAATAAAAAAACAATATTCAAATATCTGTTTAAGCTTTCAGTAAAACTATTCTTCTTAAAGGTCTGAAATATATAAAAAACAAACAAATTGAAAACGTAACAGTGCTTAGTAACTCAATACCTTTGATTTTTATTTGCATATTTAAAAGGCAGAGTAGAATTTTTAACCTTCAACTTAATAGGAATATAACAGACAACAAAAAACCAAATAACAGCAATATGTGTGTGTGTGTGTGTGTTTGTTTGGAAATAGTAATTTACGATTTGTAGGAATAACTACTTTTTTTTTCCAAAAAAAGCACTAGAGGGAGTACCTAAATAAAAACGTGTTGATTTTCGTAATTTTCTAAACCTTAAGATCACGGAACATTTCATATACAGAATCCAAAAACAGTTTATCGTAGAACTTCCAACATTTATCATAACAGGTGGGCCCGGCATGGCCAGGTGGTTAAGGCGCTCGACTCGCAATCTGAGGGTTGCGGGTTCGAATCCCTGTCACACCAAACGTGCTCACCCTTTCAGCCGTGGAGCGTTATAATGTGACGGTCAATCCCACTATTCGTTGGTAAAAGAGTAGCCCAAGAGTTGGCGATGGGTGGTGATGATTAACTGCCTTCCCTCTAGTCTTAGTGCTAAATTAGGGACGGTTAGCGCAGATAGCCCTCGTGTAGATTTGCGCGAAATTCAAAACAAACAAACAATCATAACAGGTGTAAGTTAACAGACTTACGACGGGCAGAGCACAGATAGCCCATTCCTGTAGCTTTGTGCTTAACAATAAGCACGCAAGCAAGCAAACAACTAATCAATTCTTTTAATTATAATTCATATTTTAGAAATTATTCAAATTATAAGCAAGTGCTACTGTAGTGTTTTAATTAAAATTCATATCTTACAAATTCATATCTCATTCAAATCATATTCAATTTTTAAAGTTGTAATTAGTTTGGTTGTATAAATGAAAATCAAATGACCACTATTTACATTTTAGTTAATATTTACTAATCATATAATAAATGAGCTATGGATTCAAAATTCAGAAACTTCAATCATTTCCATCTTTGCTTCATTTACTTCGGATATTGAAATAGGAAATCATTATCTATAAACGAAGGCAATCAATATTGACACTTTTATATAGGAAATATGGGATTGAGAATAAAGCGCAAGCTTGGCTGTTTTACGTTTTTTATAACTCATTAAACGAGAAATTCGAAACTACACCTCTCAATGCTTTAACTATCCCTAATTTTGAACTGATAGATTAGAGGGAAGGTAGCTAGTCAACAGCACCCACTTCTCTAATTAGACTGTGGGATTTGACCGTTACTCTTACAACGCACGCATAGCCCTAAAGTGCGAAGCAGGATTTTCTTCCGGTAGTGGAATGCAAACCATGGACCCTCGGATCTACTTTCTGGCACTCTAATCATTAGGTCATACTTGTACGAAACAAAACTAATGGAAATCCCTAAAGATTAAAGATTTCAAGCTGCCATTCTTATCCACTATGCCCCTCCTCTCCAATTCAGTTATCAGTTAACGAAATCTTCAGTTTTAGATAACTTATTATAATAACTAATTGTTATTTTTAATATTATTGGACATTCCTGTTTTTGACCCTCAAATCAATAACTTGTGATATCCCATTCTTCACCAGTGGTGTCCACATGCTGCATCACATTAAGTTATTTTATGATCTTTCTTGTCATAACACTCATTGTAAAGAATTGATAAAAACAACTTGAGTGAAGTCCCCACTTTATGTATAAAATACACAGGAAATCCTAGCTCTAATTATTGAGAGTAATGGCAATATTGACTGTGTGTTTTTATTTAGTGTTGTCTTCGTTCAACTCGTATATTATTAGGGACAGTGTAACCAATAAAGTAATGGACCTACAAGTAATTTCGTGTATGATTAGTTTAGAAGATGTGTTCAAAAAGCCGATGGAGTCTATATGAAGTTCTACAGTAATTCTGGAGTTAAGTAAAAAGTCGCCATGTTGGCTGTGTGTTTGAAAAGTTGGTGTAAAACAAGATTAAATAAAGAAACAAAGATGGTAAAATAAAGGTGAAATACAAGAAATATTTACATAGTTTATACAAGTACTTAGAAAAATGGCAAAGAATTAGCATAACTTACTCACACACCCGCTCCTGCAGAGACTCGATCATGGTACAGTTCCCTCCATTCAGGCAGTAGGACCGGACATCACAAGGTCGTCCTTTGAATTGCCAGTGTGGAGACTCTATTACACCTCAAATACCATAAATACAACCTAGCGTAAGTGCACCTTAGCAGCTAGGATTTAACTATTAGCATTAGTGCATGATTATTTTCAAGCGAGGATTCGGATGTTAGGGAAAAGTTTGATATTAACAGCAAGCTATGCTTTGATTTTCAGCGTAAGCATGAAAGGATAACCTAGGTTTTTTAGCAACTAAATCTTCACTTAGGGAATATCCAGCTAATTCCATTGCCAAGCTAGAGGGCATTATTAAGTAGTTAGTATGTTATTAGCCTTTATTAGCCTCAAGCGAACGTGAACCTTATACAGTTCAGTCTGATTAATAAAAGTATTAAGCATAACAAATTACCTTCTTGCTATGAAATATACTTTGTTTTTCTACAAGAGTTTCGATTTTAACCTACAAGATTATATACTATTTCTTTCTTTTTGTTTCGAATTAATTCAATATAGATTTAATTTAAACAAGATAATAAGTTACCAGAACAATATTCAATTTCTGTAGTACATATTGGTGTATAAAAGACATTTTAATACTAGAAGTAAAGCACCTTATAAAGCTTTAGTGAAACGCTCCTGAAGAAGCTGTAAAGCGAAACACTGAGTGTCAAATCAAAGGGTCGTTTATTTCTAGCATTAAAGTCATTAGAACAATCGTACATTTTATTTGGCTATAAATACTGGTTATCGTTAAGGTACCAGTAAAATATTTTTACAGTACTTATATGAATGGTAAAAACAAAGTTTCTATCTCTGTAAAAATGTATTGCTTTTTTTTTAAAAAAAAAGGATAATGACATTATGTGAAGTAGCTACTTTGGTGGTTTTGAAAGCTCTAGTAGAATCATGCATCATTTAGGGTTGTATGCCATGAAAATTACACTAGAAAATTGAATGATATTTAAAGTTAAAGGTCACAACAAGCAACACATATCTATCTACACGATTTAGTCGTTTATTTCATACAACTAAAACTGAATAGAGTTCTGTGACTTTATCTTAACAAATACGATTTTCATACATCAATACAAACAATATGGACTTTCCAACATTTGAAACAATCAATAGCGTTATTATATAATACTGTATACTGTTAGAACATTTAAGCATAATAAAACTATACTTTTAACTTGAAACATTCGTTTGAAATGTAATTCTCAATGTTCATCTACACCTTTTAAATTATGGATTTGTGTACAAATACCATAGATATTGAATAGTATTTAGGTATGAATACTTACGATTTTTGTGTCTTTTTGATTGGACAATAATCTCAGTCTCACTGACAGATGGCGGAGACAAAATATTGGATGCTCGGCACTGATACTGGCCGCCATCACGTCGTCGAACTCGTTTGATAATTAACACCGACTTTCGTCTGTAAGACACAATTTAATAAAAACCTGGTCTGGTATAACATTTTTATGGTGGAGTGTTACCATAAGTAATACTTTTGTTTTCTTTACAAGCTAAAATGTTAGCTTCCCTCTTTCTCTTTACTGTCCATTCAAATTCGTTTTCCAAAACGTAAAAATAAAGTAAATCGGTATAGAAAAATTTTACAGCCATTTCCTGGTAATTTCGTGGTAATTTTAATTATTGTTCTTTTTATACAACAAATTGTAGCATTATCATTGCTATGATCGCCTATGTAAACATGTAGTAATAAACTTAGATCTCCTACGTATAATTTGGAAAAGGGACGAAACTTAAAATTACTGTTCGCTTACTTCTTTAAGGTAATATGGCAACAAATGTAGCATGTTATTACAATTTCATTACGAAATATCATCGTGTATAGAGACACTTTGATTATTCGGGTTTTCTGTAAAGAATTTTGGATAGGTAAGAACAATGATGCATTTGTGATTGTATTGTTTGTAAATTATTTTCTTGATCAAGTAATCTTATATTTGTTCTGTAATAGTTTGGGTATAATGAAGCTGAAAAATATTACATTCGACACAACAATCTTACATATAAATCAGGACAATGTTTTAAAAAAACACATTAAATCCCTTAAAACTCACCAATAAAAGGATTGAATTGATTTCCTTCTCAAACCAAGTACTACTCTTTTGGTATGGATGTACAAACTGTCAGCGTGAACATCAGTGAATTTGATTATACTCTTATTGTTGGGAATAGATCAGGTAGAATATACAGTTTCTGTACGTCTAATCGAGGGATTTCGCATGATGCTTTGAAATCTCAGAAGAAGAACATGTACGTCTTAAATCAAGTATTTCAAAATTCTTAAATAATGAGCTGTTTTTGACACACATTTCCGGTTTACAGAAAATTCAATATCTTTTGATGTTAGTTTACTTTTTATTTAAGCACAATGATCTATTTATACTTTACCTATTGAAGGGATCTAATTCTGAATTTTAGTGTTATAAGCCCTTAAGTTTACCTATGAACATGGGGGGGGGAGGCATAGGGGTAGTGCTTTGTACAAACACGCCAATTACTCCAGGTACTGTCTTGATGACTCGAGGTCTACGATGATAAGTTGAGATCCAATTATTACACCTACTTCAGTGTTAATAACGTTAAAAAAATGCAGTTAGAATTACTGAATATTTTTTAATTTTACGTGTAACATATTTACAGTAGTATTAATTTTTCGTTAATTCTTACGTCACAACGTAACTTACGGCGCTATCATTCTGGGTGTATCTTTACATCTTTATCGTGAAGATATTTAGTGTTAGCATTATATAAATGTTGGTCCTTTGTCATAGAGAGGTTTATAAATGTTTACCTATTCCAAGAATTGTTCAATCCGTAGCGGATCTACAAAGCATGAAGTAGTTTTTGTTTTTCTTTATTTCGTATTTATTGAACTATATCCGAAGAAATTTCAATCCGTTCTAAATTTGATGTGCTATCTAGTCAACAATGCCTGCACCGCCAATGAGGAAGCTGCGTGAGTTAGTGTAGCTTTACGAGTTTCGAATTGTCTCTACCATCCATCCATCATTAGTAGAGTTCATGAAGTGCGACTCAGACGAGTCTCGGCGCCGATAGTTTGGATGGGAATAAAGAAGACTTACCCAAGCAAACAGTCGAAAGATGTCGGGGTCAAAGACTGATGATATACACACAACGTGCGTAGAAATCGTGAACCGTCCAAGTGGAAGCAGTGTTTCTGGATACTTTATACTTATATAATTTCTACTTAAATATATCTACGTAGATAAATGCTACTTAAGCTTCAATAATATTAATTACGCTAACTGTAAGTAGGCGATTACAATCAGCACTATAAAACAATAATGAATTCAATATAAAATAAGCATTCAAATTAGTTAGGTAATGATTCCTTTGTCAGTCCTAGTTGTCACTTTAAAGTCATAGCGGATATAGTGTGTGTGTGTGTGTGTGTGTGTGTGTGTGTGTGTGT